CCAGGGCTGGGCAAAAAAGTCAAGATGGCTCCTAGGGAAGTGCCCCCCCCCCAACAGCGCAGCCCTCTACATTTAAAAAGGCCCAGCTTCCATCGCACCATTGCGGCCGCCATCTTGACTTCTTTGACCTGGGGAGGCCTCCGCAGCTCCTACTGCATCTCCAGAGGGTGGAGGGGCAACCGTGGACCCCCCTTCGGCCCCCACAGACACCCACCTGTACGAAGCGAGCTCCGCACGTTTCACATTTATACGGCTTCTCCCCGGAGTGGATCCGCGTATGAGTCTTGAGGTTAGCCGGCCGGTTGAACTGAGCCCCGCAGATGCCGCAACGGTAGGGCTTCTCGCCTGTTTTGACCAACCAAACGGCAGATGTTTAGCGTCTCAGCGTTATTTGCACACAAACGCACAACTCAGCTTTGAGTTCTCAGAGTCCTTGCTCAACGTTTGAATCTCTACATCCGTGTTTCTCGACCGCGGCAACTTTACGAGGGGTGGACTTCAACTCCCAGAATTCCCCAGCCCTGCAGAGCTGGCTGGGGAATTCTGGGAGTTGAAGCCCACCCTTCTTAAAGTTGTCGAGTCACTCGCCAACTTGACATTCCCTTTTAATAACACCTTTTGAAAAGTTTAGGCCAGGGGTCCACAAACGTGGCCCCTTTAAGACTTGTGGACTTCAACTCCCAGAATTCCCCAGCCAGCCATGCTGGCTGGGGAATTCTGGGAGTTGAAGTCCACAAGTCTTAAAGGGGCCACGTTTGAGGACCCCTGGTTTAGGCCCTTTAATCCTCATGGAAGTTGAGAATTAAACTCAACTCCCCCGAGTCATCCAGGATAAACTGTCCTGCAGACTTCAACTCCCAGAATTCCAAAGGCTTCCCTAGCTGAGGCTGCTGGGAGTTGAAGTCCTACAGGTGCAGATTGTCCCCCCCCCCAGCCGCGTTGCCAATGTTTCATTCAACAGGGCCATTTGTGACTCAATTTTGTTCTTTTCAATCCAATATTTGAGGGTCTTGGGGAGGGGGGGGCGCACAGATCACAGAGTGCTCTACAAAACACACAACTCAGCTCCCCCCCCTCCCAAAAAAAGGTCATATGCTCCAGGCTGTTTTCCAAGGAAGAACATGAAATTTCCCAGAATCCCCTGATCTGGGGCTATGGAAAGACCCCTCCCTCAATTCCCACGAGCCGATGCAAACTCTGTCCCTTTCTGGCATGAGACACACACACACAAACACACACACACACACACACACACAAACACATCACATGGACCAAAGGAGTGCAATTTGCAAGCCACAACTGTGTAGTCCTCAACTTACAACGATCCGTTTAGTGACCATCACAACGGCACTGAAAAGAAGTGAGTTATCACCGTTTTTCACACAACCGTTGCAGCATCCCCGAGGGGGTCACGTGATCAAAATTCGGACGCTTGACAACTGACTCATATTTATGACGGTCGCAGCGTCTCCAGATCATGTGATCCCCTTTTGTGACCTTCAGTGGGGGAAGAGCCAGATTCACTTAACAACCATGTAGCGGCAGTGATTCACTTAACAACGGTGGCCGGAAAGGTTGTAAAATGGGGCAAATCTCACTTACCAACCGTCTCGCTTAACGATGGAAATGTTGGGCCCAATCGTGGTCGTACGTAGAGGACTACCTGCGCTTGTTACTGGAATGTCTGCTGCAGGGAGCTTTCTCATATTCGTCTGAAGCTTTCTGACACCACCTACAGGCGTCCTCGACTTACGACGACGACTGGGGCCAGAGTTCGCCATCGTTAAGTTGGGGTGGTTGTAAAGCAAGTCATCCTGTGGCCTGATCCATTTTCATGACATGATTGTAAGTGTGAGGACTGGCCCTAAATCACTTTTTTTAGCGCCATCACAACTTTGAACGGTCACTAAACGAATGGTCGTAAGTGTGAGGACTGGTCCTAAGTCACTCTTTTTCGGTGCCGTCACAACTTTGGTCACTAAACAAATGGTCATAAGTGTGAGGACTGGCCCTAGGTCACTCTTTTTTTTGCCGTTACAAGTTTGGTCGCTAAACAAATGGTCGTAAGTGTGAGGACTACTTGCAAATGACCCTTCTTTTGCCATGGCTCTGCTGCCTGGCCCGTCCCCGGTGGATTGGGCCACTTCAAACCACCCTCTGCGATCGATGGCACTCCGGAGAGCCGCAGTTACGTGTCCCCCAGGTGAGGCTATACCTGTGTGGACGGTTTTGTGACTGGCTAGGTTCCCCTTGTAGCGAAACGAGGCCTGACAACGGTCACACTTGTAGGGTTTGTCACTGTGCGTTTGCAGGGAATGTTTCTTGAACGCGGCCTCTTCCGAGAATGGGCACTGGCATTCTTTGCAGAAAAAAGACCGGGTTTCTGTCGGAGAGGAAGAGGGGACGCGGGTGAGAATCGCCTGGAACCGCGCCACGCCGGGCCACCCTCAAAACCAGGCACGGGGTTGACCCTCGCCTCCCTCACCGTCAAAAAAACAAGCCAGGATTACCCCTCATCGAGATTCGCACCGGAGACACGAGATCGGTCTTGGTTAATCCTGGTTTGTTTGGGGTGCCCCGAGGGGGGCGCCTCCAACCCGTGGATGGCCCGTTCACAAACCCGGTTAGGCGCGTTATGAGAATGCAGGAAATGTTTGTACAGCACCATGTGATCCAACAGAAGGGCGGAACAGCCTTCAGCCCCAAATGAATGTTGGGATATAATATTATCTAATATAATACGGCATCTAATAATATGCTTCAAGCTACAGCAAAATCAGAAACGGGGGAATACGAAAAGGGTAACATTTCTGAACCTAATTTCACATACAGGTAGTCCTCGACTTACGACCAAAATTTTTGTTGCTAAGCAAGACGGTTGTTAAGTGAGATTTGCCCCCTTTTATGCCAGGGTTGTTAAGTGAATCACTGCAGTAGTCAGAAGGTTGCAAAAGGGGATCCCATGACCCCAGAACCATCATAAATATATGAGTCGCGTGCCATTTTATGAACTTTTATGCCACGGTCGTTAAGCGAATCGCTGAAATTGTGAAAGTCATTAAGTGAATCTGGCTTCCCTCGTTGCCTCTGACTGTCAGAAGCCAGCTGGAATGGTTGCAAATGGTGATCACATCAACCTGGGATGCAGCAACCGTCATAAATACATTCATAGTGCCAAGCTATGAATTTTGTTCACGTGACCGTGCGGAGGACGCAATGGTCATAAGTGCGAAGCCCAGTCGTAAGTGCAAGGCCTTGTCATAAGCACGAGGTCCAGTCCTAAGTCACTTTTGTCAGTGCCATTGGAACTTTGTCTCTAAACAAATGGCTGTAATTCGAGGATTACCTGTATTAAACTGACCCCGTCTGCAAAAGATGAGCCTCCCCACTCAAGCAGAGTCTATCTTTAAGCAGAAATAAACTTCTGCCTGCTCGGTATATCGAGGCAAGGAGTCAAGCCATCCTTTTAACCAACATGACGATCACCCCCCAAAAAATATCGGACACTTTTGTGGACTTACCACAACTGGAATCTGAATATTCCGATTGGGTTTCCCCCATTTCTTCTCCAAAGTTGGATCCGGGGGTATGAAGGCACATGTCCGAATGCTGCGGTGACCGAGAACCGCAGGAGCTGCACTTGGACGAATGCAGATACAACGGGGACTGGTCCTCACTGCTCTGAGGAGAACCATCAAGTGACCTAGAAGAAGCAAGAAACTGGGTTAAGACTAACATCCAGTGGCGGGAAACTGCCCTTTGATTCTTCAAGGGCTGAGCTAAACTGCGGTTTGTTACTCAGATAATACTCGACTCGGCTATCGCATTTGGCGAAGAAAGAGCTTCTTTAAGTTACAATTTGGCGACCACAAAGGGTCCTCAAGTCTCTTCAGGCAGTCCATGAAGTCAAATACGTAAATATTTTAAAATTTCTCGGTGTTACTCGGTAATCCTCGACTTATGACCACAACAGAGCCCAAAATTTCTATTGCTAAGCGAGCTATTGAATTTTGCCCCATTTTACGACCTGCAGTTGTTAAGTGAGTAACACAGTTGTTAAGTGAATCTGGCTTGTCAGAAGGTCGCAAAAGGGGATCATCACATGACCCCGGGACAATGCGACCGTCATAAATGAGAGTCAGTTGCCAAGCATCTGAATTTTGATCACGGGACCGTGAGGATGCTGCAACGGTCGTAAGTGTGAAAAACCATCCTAAGCCATTTTTTTCAGTGCCGTTGTAACTTTGAATGGTCCCTAAATAAACTGTCGTAAGTAAAAGACCATGCGTAATTTCTAGCGCAGTGAGTATCGATAGATGCAATACACACTAGCCAAACTCTTTGGGTTCCTCAACCGTTTTTAAGAAGATAAAGGGGTCCTGCAAATGAGCTACACTATAAACCAAGATGTACAAACCAACATTTGTCCTGTTCCAACTCACCAAGGTTTATATCCCTGTTAATCAAACTGCCTGAAGTGTAGATTTAACAACAGGTTGCCGGTTTTAATATGCTGGCCAATGGCAAGCAATGCAGGGACTCTGCTCAGCCTATGCGCACCCCATATTAACATGCACCCCAAATTAACCACTTACCAGGAACAGCGTTGTACAGTTGAACCCTAAACCCAGTAAGCAAGGCGAGTACACACAACTCCTAAATCCACGCACACACAACGGTAAAACTGACTTCGGATCTCCTATGAATACGGGCATTTCTTCCCTAGCTGACCTGGGGACAGGGGTGTTGTGTGAACTACAAGCGCAGCATAATGGAGGAAGTTGTGGCCTGCCATCTCAACACCCCAGCCACACCGAAAGGAATTCTCACAGCTCCCAAAAGCTGGAAGACTTTTTTTTTCATGATGTACCCGTAGCTAAAATGAATTTAACCAAATTGATAAGGTGACGAGTACATGTACGTGGAAGTTAAGGATGATTTATTAGGTAAATAAATAGATAGCCTGTGCCCTTTTGGGGTAATTGTTTCAGAAATATTTCCTTAACCTAAACAAAATAACCAAAGATGGGGGAAAAAACGGTGAGGATAGGAGTGACTTTCGACTTCTTGCTGGCTTTCCCATTGAGTTTTCTTTGGAGAATCAGCGGTGTATAGAAAATCTTCCTTCCTTCCTTCCTTCCTTCCTTCCTTCCTTCCTTCCTTCCTTCCTTCCTTCCTCCCTCCCTTTCTTCCCTCCTTCTTTTCTTCCCTTCCATTTCCTGCCTGCAAGCGGTTATTGGTAAAGGAAGCAAGGGATTGCTAGAATGCCTGGGAAATTGTCATGGAATCTCAAAACTGAAGACCACACGATTGCAGCAGCAGCTCAGCAAGGCAGCAACAGCCAATAGCACTAAAGCAACCATACCTCCCCCAAATTCCATCCCCTTGAAGTTGTGGGTCCCAGATTTTAAACGCTGCGTAAGCTCGTCCATTTGAGCTACCTGGCTTCAACAAAGGTTGCGTTATGACCCACTGTTTCGCCCAGTTAAAGGTCACAAGAGTTTAACAGTGTATAGATTACACTGACACTCAAGAAAAGCACTTCTGGAGGATACAGGGTTGGGAAGAGATGGCTGAATTAAATTAATTCAGCTTTTCTTGGCCTCAGCAACTCGAAGATGTGCGGACTTCACCTTCTGGCTGGGGAATTCTGGGAGCTGAAGTCCACACATCTTCCACCTTGCTAAAATTGCAAAACGCTGCCCTAACTCAAAATATATTTTAGCACCCCAGTGGCTAGTACGATCAGACCTGGCAAGAAATTTGGATGAGACACCACTAGTAAATCCAAATCTACACACACATGAACACCAACACGCACACCCGCTACTGATCCAAGAAGGAAGAGGCCCTTTGCCTCGTACCTGTTAAGAATATTGTTTAGGCGGCTCGCTTGCGGGATGGTTGAGTCTTCCCCGTTGATGTTGAGCTTGGTTGGGGACTGCACATCCATGTTCTCGGGTTCCAGCGATTGCTGACATGCCAAGGAGGGCCCGTACGGCCGTGGGGAGAGGGTCCCAGCCTCGGTGTGTTCGGGGCCGTCCTCCTTGGCATTCTGGTTGAGCGAGTTGAGCACGATAAACTTGTACTTTTTCCAGTTGCACGCCTTGGGGTCCGTGGGACTCTTAGCCGACGTCGCGCTCGGACTGATACAGGCGTTCTTACTGCTGCTGGACTCGGTTGGCGAGTTGGGTTGGCAGTCCGACTTCTGCGGGCTCTGAGGGCTGGTCACCACCTTCCGGTTCATGGGTGCGTTGGTGGGCTCGAAGCACTGGGTCCTCTTGGCTTCGGGAGCGGACCTCTCCTCCACCTTGCTCGTTTTGCCGCACGCAAAGTAGGCGTTGTTGACAGCCAGGGAGGGTGCAGGATCAGGACCTGTCGCGGCACCGTAACGGACTTCAGTTTTGTTCTCCTCGGCCGCTTCTTCCTTCGGAGAGTAGACGGCGGGGTGGCAGAGGCTGGGGGAGATATTAGCCACCACCCTGGTAAACTCAGCGGCGTTGGTCCGTTGCATGTTGCAGGGCGCCACGCGCTCTCTCGGAAAGGGGTGCCCTCTCGAAGCCTCCGAGATGGGCATCCGTGCATCTCGTAGTTCTTCGTCCGAATACAGGTATCCGCCGATGGGCACAGGGTTGTAGCTAGTGTAGGAGATGGGGGATCCGGACATGCTGCTGTACAAACTGGGCATGAAGGCTCGCCCGTCACAAACGGAACCGTTCCGAAGCGGTAAGTTGCTTTCTGAGATATCCCGGCTCCTGTAAGCCATCATGTTGGGTTGGCTGAGCATCTGGTTAGCTAAGAAATCTTCCCGGGAGCTTTTGGCAGCCGAGACCATTTCCGTTTCACTGAAGCCAGAGGAAAAATGACGTTACGACACAGGTAGTCCCCGATTTACGGCCACAATTGAGCCCCAAAAATTTCCGCTGCTAAACGCGACGGTTGTTACGTGAGTTTTGCCCTGTTCTACGGCCATTTCTGCCATGGTTGTTAGGTGAATCACTGCCGTTGTTAAGCTAGTAACCCATTCGTTAAGTGAATCTGGCTTCCCCCACTGACTTTGCTTGTCGAAAGGTCGCAAAAGGGGATCCCGGGACACGGTGACCATCGTAAATACGAGTCGGTTGCCATGTGTCTAAATTTTCATCACGTGACCACGGGGATGCTACAACCGTCGTAAGTGTGAATAAATGGTCCTAAGTCCCTTTTTTCAGTGCCGTTGTAACTTTGAACGGTCACTAAATGAACTGTTGTAAGATGAGGACTATCTGTACTGTATTTGGAGCCCCCCTTAGTTAAAAACATTCAGCAAACGCCCAGCAGAGGGCAGCACCTAACTGAAGCTAGGTGCTCTCCCAAAGCTAAACTGAGTTAAACTTGGTTTAATGCTCGGATGGGAGATTTTGTCCTGTCCGTCGCTGGCTGTGGGATCCCGAGTAGACTCCCAGCACTTTCTAAAACACCTAGAATTCCCCTTAGGCCAGTGTTTCTCAATCTTGGCCATCTTGAAGAGGTGTGGACTTCATCTCCCAGAATTACCCACCGGCTGGGGAATTCTGGGAATTGAAGTCCACGCCTCTTAATATGGCCAAAAGTTGAGACACGATGCCTTAGGTTGCTAGGAATTCATCCTACAACCTCTTATCTCAGAAGTGGATGAAGAAAACTAGTCTTTTTTTTAGGGGTAGAAAACCACCGCCTCCGGGAAGGCAGGGGTACCGCGTTCAAATCCCACCTCGCGCTATAAAACCACCCTGTCTCTCACCTGGAGTTCAGGAGCCTCCGGCAGGTGTCCACCACGTGCTCCATCTGCAGGTAGAGAGCGGTGGCCATCACCGCCAGGATGTTGGTCTCCCGCAAATTGAGGCGAGACGTGTACATAAAATCCAGCAGGATCCCAAATCCTTCCGGACTGATCTCCGGATCTAAATTCAGGACCGACAAGTTGCACTTTAGCTGGTCGGTGAAGATGCTATAGAAAAGGCCGCTGCGGGGAAGGAAAGGGATAATTCTGGTCAAGACGTTGCAAAAAAAAAAAGGCGTTGAAACTTTGGGAAAAGGTGCAGAGAAGAGCAACCGAGACGATTAAAGGTCCGGAGACTAAAACATACGAAGAACGGCTGCGGGATTTGGGTATGGCCAGTCTAAAGAGAAGGAGAAATAGGGGGGAGATGATAGCAGTCTCCCAGTATTCTGCAAGGCTGTTTGGGTGGCTGCAATGGGGCCATGATGTGGCCGCAATGTGACTGCGATGCTGCAACGTGGCTACGACGTGGCTGCATCGACATGCCACAGTGAAAGTTTTGGGGCATGTCGGCGCCTCTCACCTGCAGGCCATCAGCACCGTTTTGTGCGCCCGGAATTGCTCCCGGCTCACGATAATGACCACGTCGGTAAGGATATCCCGGCTCCGAAGGCGGTTGAGGTTGAGCAGAACGTCGCTGGCGTGCCGGGTGAACTGGATGCAGCTGTCGGCCGGGGAGGCCATCTTGGTTGTGTCCTGGGGGGGGGGCAGGTAGAAGGGGGGGGATATTTACTTAATTTCGTTGTGAGTTACACAATTGACAATAAAGATATTCTATTCTACTCTATATTCTATTCTATTCATTTTCTATTCTATTCTATTCAATTCTATATTCTATTCTATTCTATTCATTTTCTATATTCTATTCTATTCTATTCATTTTCTATTCTATTCTATTCATTTTCTATATTCTATTCTATTCTATTCTATTCTATTCTATTCTATTCTATTCGAATGCTTGTAAGTTGAGGACTGCCTGTAGGGGGAGAGAGGGTTTGGTCCGTGCCCTCCTGTGCCCACCTGTATACGGTTCCCGGCTGCCTCTAATGAAATATTCCGCGAGGGACGCTGGGCGACGTGACTGGCACAGCATGGAATTTCAAGCACATCCCTCAGGCTTCAACTCACAATCCCAACGACGCTTTCGGACCTGGGCGAATTTAAACAAAAAAAGCAGGGAAAAAGAGAAGAAGGGGAAAAAAAGCGTCAGAAATTAGCCAGGTTAAGACCTCGCTCAAAACTTTCCAGATTCGGCTTTGGAGAAAGCAGGGTCACATCCCAAACCATCACCATCAAGGGTGTCGCGCGGTCGTTACATGGATCCGGCTGCCTGCGTTGACTTTGCGGGTCCCAAGGGAGATCACGTGACCCTCGTCATGAATACGTGCCAGTGGTCAAGCACCCGAATTGTGATTACTTGACCGTAGGGATGTCGCGAGGGTCATAAGTGCGAGGATTTCTTTCCCCCAGTGTCGCCGTAACTTTAAACGATGGCTTAAGCCCAAATCTCTGCATTAGAAAGGTGAGAAAGAGGGATCCACCTTTTCTCCAAAGCACCAGGAGGCAGGACAAGAAACGACGGATGGAAAGCAATCAAGGAGAGAAGCAAGCTGGAACTAAGGAGGAATTTCCTGACAGTGAGGACGATTAACCAGTGAATGCTCCATCACTGGAGGTTTTTAAGAAGAGACTGGACAGCCATTTTGACTGGAAAGGTATACAGTCTCCTGTTTGAGGAGGGTATTGGACTAGATGACCTCCAAGATCCCTTCCAGATTCTATTCTATTCTATTCTATTCTATTCTATTCTATTCTATTCTATTCTATTCTATTCTATTCTCCATTCCATTCCATTCCATTCCATTCTCCATTCCTGTTGTTCTATTTCTATTCTATTCTCCATTCCATTCTATTCTCCATTCCTGTTCTATTTCTATTTCTATTTCTATTTCTATTTCTATTTCTATTTCTATTTCTATTTCTACTTCTACTTCTATTTCTATATTCTATTCTGTTCTGTTCCACGCAACTTTTTAAATTCATCCACAAGGTGAGAAGTGCTGTCTGCTGGACTGCTATGATGATTCTCCCCACACGAGGGCGCTCCTGTATAAATGACTATATGAATTAAATTATCCGTGCTGCTTATTTAAGGAAACGGTGATCAGATGCCCACCAAATGAAAATAAAGACTCTCTTAGGTTTAACTCGGCATCTGAGGACTTGATGGAAACAGAATAACATGGAAATAGTATGTCTTTGTATGGGATTTTTCAAATTTCCCAATTTAGTTTATCACCCGGTGGTGCCCCATCCAAAGATTAACCAGATCTGATCTGCCCTAGCTTTTTAATTAGCTAGTTGCTGCCACCAGCTCTGTATTTCAATTGGTAGACATCAGCGGGTCGCTATTATTATTATTATTATTATTATTATTATTATTATTATTATTATTATTATTATTATTATTAAGAATATTCAAACTGCTGATTATCCAGGTTAATTTAACAATGACCCAGGTTAACTTTCTTTAATTGTGATACCAGCTCAGATTGGACAACTCTGAGATACTCCATGAATGTCTAACTTCCCAACTTTGGGAATCATCCAAATGAGGTTTTTAAACTCCCAGAATTCTCAGGGAGGTCCATGCTGGCTGGGGAATTCTGGGAATTAAAATTGCTGAGGTTAATAGCTCCCCATGCTGAGGAATTCTGGGAGTTGAAATCCACACGTTTTAAAGTTGCCAAGTTTGAAGACCCCTGTCTTACTCCATCCCGGTGCCTTAGGGGGGTCACTGAACCCCACTTTTCCATTACAGCTAGTCCCGGACTCATAAGCCTTCGTTTAGTGACCGTTCCAAGTTACAACGGCACTGAAAAAAGTGACTTAGGACCGTTTTCACACTTAACGACCATTGCAGTATCCCCGTGGTCACCTGATCAATATTCGGACGCTGGGGAACTGACTCATATTTATGACGGTTGCGGCGTCTCCCGGGGTCACGTGATCCCCTTTTGCGAACTTCTGACGAGCGAAGTCCATGGGGAAGCCAGATTCGCTTAACGACCGGGTTATTAACTTAACAACCGCAGGGAACAACTGCGGCAAGACAGGTCGTAAAACGGGCCCAAACGCCATTCCATCAGAATAGAGCTGGAAGGGACCCGGGAGGTCATCTAGTCCGACCCGCCCCCCTGCTCAGCCAGGCCACCCTATACCATTTCAGACACATGGTTGTTCAATCTCTTCTTAAAAACCTCCAGTGATGGAGCACCCCCAACTTCTGGTGGCAAGCCGTTCCACCGGTTAATCGCACTCCTTGTTAGGAGAATATTGGAGCCTGTCTCACTTAGCAACCGAAATTTTGGTTGTTAAGTGGAGGACTACTTGTAAATGATCTGGATGGATGAAAAACAAACTGAAGCATCTAATCCATCATCATCCGTTTGTTCATTCTACGTCAGCAAATGGATTTAGATGAGGCTGACCTCAACCGATTTCTCCGATCCCAGCAGAAACAAGAATAACAATTATGTTGTTGTTGTTGTTGTTATTATTATTCCACTGCAACTCAGTATGATGCATGCTCTGGAATAAACTCTGTGAGTCATAAAAGGTGCTAGCAGATTCCTTCTGTCTGGGGGGCTAAACTAAGAGAGGGGAGGAGATGAGTGGGTTTCAAAATATTAAGGGGCATAGAAAACGTTTCTTGAAGGATCTGAAGGGGTGTCTTGTAGGCCCAGGTTTCTCAAACTCAGCAATTTTAAGATGGCTGGACTTCAACCCCAAAAAATCCCCAGCCAGCATGAGTGGACTTCAATTTCCGAGAATCTTGCAGCCAGGAAGAATAGACTTCAGCTCCCAGAATTCCCATCCAGCAGAGAGGATTTCAACTCCCAGAATTATCCAGCCAGCATGAGTAGGCCTCAACTCCCAGAATCCTCCAGTCACGAAGAATAGACTTCAATTCCCAGAATTCCCTATCTAGCATGAGTAGGCCTCAAGTCCCAGAATCCTCCAGCCAGGAAGAATAGACTTCAGTTCCCAGAATTCCCCAACTAGCATGAGTAGGCCTCAAGTCCCAGAATCCTCCAGTCACGAAGAATAGACTTCAATTCCCAGAATTCCCTATCTAGCATGAGTAGGCCTCAAGTCCCAGAATCCTCCAGCCAGGAAGAATAGACTTCAACTCCCAGAATTCCTCAACTAGCATGAATGGACTTCAACTTCCAGAATTCCCCACCCAGCATGAGTGGACTTCAACTCCCAGAATCCTCCAGCCAGGAAGAATAGACTTCAACTCCCAGAATTCCTGAGCCAGCATGAGTAGGCCTCAACTCCCATAATTCCTCAGCCAGCAAGAATAGACTTCAATTCCCCCAAAACTCACAGCAAATATGAGTGAACTTCAACTCCCAGAATCCCACAGCAAGGATGAATGGACTTCAACGTCCAGCATTTCCCAGCCAGCGAGAATAATTTCAACTCCCAGAATTCCCCAGTCAGCATATGTGGACTTCAGCTCCACCTAGTAACCACTGCAACTCCTGGAGCAAATGAAGAATGACATAGCCCAGGGGTAGGCAACCTTGGCTCTTTTATGACTGGTGGACTTCAACTCCCAGAATTCCTCAGCCAGCATGGGGGAACTATGGCCCCTTCATGACTCGTGGACTTCAACTCCCAGAATTCCTCAGCCAGCATGGCTCAGCTTGGAAACCTCTCCCTTTCCCCTCAGCATGGCTGGCTCAGGAATTCTGGGAGTTGAAGTCCACCAGGCATAAAAGAGCCAAGGTTGCCTACCCCTGGCTTAGGCCTGTATTTCTCAACCTTGACCACTCGGAGATGTGTGGACTTCAACTCCCAGAATTCCTGAGCCAGGCACGCTGAGGGGAAAGGGAGAGGTTTCCAAGCTGAGCCATGCTGGCTCAGGAATTCTGGGAGTTGAAGTCCACCAGTCATAAAAGAACCAAGGTTGCCTACCCCCGGCTTAGCCTGTCCCTGACATCTGGGCCAACCACATTCCAGACCCAGGTCCCCTTCCGAACAGTCTCCAAGGGCAGCCCCACGTAACCGCATTGCAGTAATCCATGCCCGTGGACAGCCAAGTGTAGCTGATGCTCTACGGCGATTGTCACTAAATGCGTCTCAAAATAACACAAGAGAAGCCAAGGCCAAGGACTAACACCCAGCCCCTTTTGCTCAGGAATCCCCCCCCCCAAAGAGGGTTTGCAACGTTGTGTGTTCAGACCCCTTCTCCATTGGCCACAACTCATCCTAGACCCACAATTTGCTCAAAAACATTTCAGATCCTGTCTGCTACATTCACTCATTTCTAAACCAGGACCCTGAGCCACAAACAGTTGAGGTTGCATCTCAAAAAAATTAACCACCATTGATGCTAATCAGGCTTAGTGTAACGAATCAGCGTGGCTGCTGGTTCCTTCATTGACCTGGTTGAATGGGCTGTGTGAACGCAGCCAGGATGGGATCCATTCCAGAGTTGGTCCACAAAGCTTTAGCACAGGGGTCTTCAAACGTGGCCCTTTTATGACTTGTGGACTTCAACTCCCAGAATTCCTCAGCCAGCGTTGCTACGCTGGCTGAGGAATTCTGGGAGTTGAAGTCCACAAGTCATAAAAGGGCCACGTTTGAAGACCCCTGCTTTAAGCACATTCACACATGAATTGCAATCCAAGCTTGTCTCTTGATATCGAAGACCCAAGCGCTTTTAATTCCCAAAGCTTGTCGCTTGTGGGTTGAAAAATTCACCACACATACACACCTACACACAGATCGGCTCAAAACCCTCCTAGAAACATCAGCAGATTTGAGCATAAATCAGAACTGGCAGAAAAAACGGGAAGAAGAAAAGCTTGCGATGAATTGGACAGTTTTGCAACCTTGACTTGGGTGAACTTCAACTCCCAGATTTTATCATCCTGGAAGTAGAGTTTAGGAATAAATAATGTATGTTTTTTTAAAAAAATTGTGAGCTGTCCATCATTGATCTGAGATGGTTATAGAAATTGGATGGATGGATGGATGGATAGATAGATAGATGATAGAGATGATAGATAGATAGATAGATAGATAGATAGATAGATAGATAGATAGATAGATAGATA